TATTATTTATATTAGAACTTTTTCTCAAGACTTGTCTTTAATAGTTGCATAGTACATATTTTTATTTTTATGTTAATTTGCATGCTTTTCTGTTTTCTCTGTTCTTCACCCTCATTCAGTACTTTGCACGACACTCATTTGAATTATAGGTGTTTTGAAATGATAGAACAAAATTTTAACTGCTGATTCAAGAGTTAGGATAAAAACAAGATACTGCTAGACCTAAAGAATTTAAGCAGAATGTGTCTTTTAAATAAAAGCAGGCTGGAACAAAATTCTAGAGAAGTTGATTGAGGTAGAGAGGCTGAGACTGGGTATGGATTTCTAGGCAGGCAGGATTCAAAGTCTGGGAGATCAGCTTATTAGATAGGGGCTGTATGGAGCAGGATTGGTAAACTCTGGCTCTCAGAGCGGAATCTGTTAGCTCTGTGTTTTATATTGCCTGTTAAGGATGAGGGATTAGATGAGGTATTTATTCGTTAGGATTGTCATTGAGACTATGTTGATAGCTTAAATATAGTACAGAAAGGGATGATTACATAGCTATGTGAGTTTATCATGAAAGATTAAGTTCCCTGAATTAAACAATTACCGTAAAGTCTTTCCAGATTAGATTTTAAAATGATGTGAGTTTTTCCATGCAATTATTTAACTCTAGCTTAGAGACTGTCTCATGTAGTGTGGACAAGTGAGTATGTACTGCCATATAGGACTTGAAATTAATTTTTAAAAATATGCTAACATACCTTATTGTAGAAGATTATAAAAGGTTTGAATCATGGCGTATGGAAGCCATTAATGACTTTAAGATGTTTAATGTAGGCTTAGGAATTTTTTGTAGGTTCACATATATACTGTGGACACTTAAATATAATGACATTTAAAAAGAGAGCTAGAAAACAATCCTACAACCCCTCTTTCTAAAACTACACAGCAATATAATTTAGCTTGATTTAAAATGTTGACTATCAACATACACAAATCTATAAATGCAATTCACCACATAAATAAAAGCAAGAACAAAGACCATATGATTCTCTCAATAGATGCAGAAAAAGCATTTGACAAAATCCAGCACACCTTTATGATAAAAACTCTTAACAAAATAGGCATAGATGGGACATACCTTAAAATTATTAAGGCCATATACAATAAACCCACAGCCAGTATCATACTGAATGGGGAAAAATTAAAAGCATTCCCCCTTAGAACTGGAACTAGACAAGGTTGCCCACTATCTCACTTTGATTCAACATAGTGCTGGAAGTCCTTGCCAGAGCAATCAGACAAGAGAGGGGAATTAAAGGCATCCAAATGGGGGCAGACGAGATCAAACTCTCTCTCTTTGCTGATGATATTATATGTAGAAAACCCCAGGGAGACTCCTGGAATTAATAAATGAATTCAGTAAAGTCTCAGGATAACAAAACTAATACACACAAATCAGTGGCATTCACATATGCCAATAACAGTCAAACTGAAAATCAAATCAAAGATGCTACACCTTTCACAATAGCTTCAAAGAAAATTAAATATCCAGGAATATATTTAACGAAGGAAGTGAGAGACATATATAGGGAGAACTACGAAACACTAAGAAAAGAAATTATAGAAGATGTAAACAGATGGAAAAATCTACTATGCTCATGGATTAGCAGAATCAATATTATTAAAGTGTCCATACTACCTCAAGTGATCTACAGAATTAATGCAGTCCCTATCAAAGTACCATCATCATTCTTTACAGATCTAGAAAAAATAATTCTACGCTTCCTGTGGAACCAGAGAAGACCTTCTATAGCCAAAACAGTCTTAAACAAAAAAAAAACAAAACAAATTGGGAGGCATTAGTCTACCAGACTTCAAGCTTTACTACAAGGCTATAGTAATCAAAACAGCATGGTACTGGCAGAAGAACAGAGATATAGATCTTTGAACAGTACTGAGAACCCAGATATGAAACCATCCTCCATATTGTCATCTAATCTTCGAAAAAGCAGACAAAAATATACATTGGGGAAAAGAATCTCTGTTCAATAAATGGTGCTGGGAAAACTGGATAACCACATGCAGAAGATTGAAACTGGGTCCACACCTCTCACTTCTCAGAAAAATCAACGCAAAATAGATAGCAGACCTAAACCTAAGCCGTGAAACCTTAAGAATTCTGGAAGAAAATATTGGGAAAACCCTTATAGACATTGGCCTAGGCAAAGAATTTATGAAGAAGACCCCCAAAGCAATCACGGCAGCAACAAAAATAAATAAATGGGACCTGATCAAATTAAAAAGCTTCT